ATTAATTTCTGTATACAAAACAGACAACCAGGTGAAAAATAGTAGGCTAGATTCTCAAAACAATAATAATTGCGTACAGAGCTGAATTAAAATTAATTATTAATATATTTTTAATTTAAATTGCTTTTTTTTATTATTGCACGAGTATAACAAGCTGAAACAAATAGTTTTTTTTAAGTATAACAATAAAATAATTCTTTTATATTCTTGAAATTCTCAATATTCGTCTGTTATAAATGTCTTATATGTTCACATTAAAAAAATATAGCCGAAAGGCTATTAAAAAAGAATCTTAATTTCATGAATCTTTTTTTTTTTTTTATTTTTTAATTAAATAACAATAATATTTGTATGTAGAATAATAGGTTACAATTATACTTATATTTACTTTTATATTTTTTTTAAATAAAATATCTAAGAATATAAACAAAGAATTAAATTGGATAACAAGAAAATAAGTGAAAGAAAATATAAATAAAATTGAAAATAAAAATAAATTCAAAAAAAAAATGAAATAAAAAGGGAATAAAACTAATGAACTGAACATAATTTTTTTTTAAACCAATATTAACATTTTTTCCCCAATTATTTTATATACGAGTACATATACGAGTACATATAAGATCCAGCCAACATCCAACATAATAAATGGGTATAGGGAATCAAATGAACACATTCGAACACTCAGAAGTTATTATAATAATTACAATTATATTGTATAACATTTCAGGTTAAATAAATTAAAAGTTAAAATTACAAGAAATTTTCATTTTGTTCCTTTTTGCTTAAAAATATTTTTGATTTTCTTTTGTTTTTTTACAACTTCTATAATTCTCATTTGTATTTTGTAAAATACGTTTACTAATAACATGATTCTATTTATAAAGAAAACACACAAAAATTAAATTGAAAATAAATTCGAATCAGACCAGTGTTCTTTAAAGCAGCACATTTTGCTTGAGCAAGTGAAAAAAAAAAATTTTAAAAACTATATTTTCTACTCAAAATATTGTTCTAATAAAATCGCCTCTCTATACCATGAAGAAGTACGTTCCCACAGAAAACTCGACATCCGAAATTTCGTGCTATCACATTATCTCCCTTATTGTATTCAGTATGCGGCCGGTAATTATATTAATCGAATTAACAAATATTGCATAATTTTGGGGATTTTAGCAAAAATTAAAAGAAGCGTTAATACGATTTTCATATTCGGCATTTGATTGGATGAAAAGGCATTTACAGTAAGATTTTTGCTAAATATGCGTAGATATTTAGAAAAGCTTGTAATTTTTGAGTTATAAGAAGTTTTGAGTATTCATACAAACAGACAATATCTCAAACTTCTAAAATTTACGGTATAACAGAAAAATTATATTAACAACTAGGGGCCCCTGTGGTTTGCTTATAAGCAGCATTATCTGTTGTAAAAACAGGATTGTGGCAATCAATTTTAAAATAAGTTTAGAAAAATTTGTACATATTATGGCATACATATGCAGGTATATACTTGTATATGCATAAATATCATATTGGTTTGAAGATTAATGATAAATAAAAGTAATGGAAATATTTTTAATTTAATAAATTTTAAGATGTAATATGTGTCACTGTTAATTACATAGATATAATTAAAATTCAATTTAAGAATTAGTTAACAATTAAGAACGAAAAATTTCCTTATAAACAACGTTATCTGTTAAAATATTTCCATCATCGATTTTTCCCTGACGAACCGTATCTTTGACTTGAATTTTTAAAGAATTGAGGTCTATGGCTCTTGAACATGCTGTGTATAATTGCCCATGCGAAAAGCACGGCTGGGGGAGATAGGGGCCAACCTTTTCAAAAGTTTGCCCTTGGGACTTATTTATAGTCATGGCATATGCAAGACGGATGGGGAACTGATGCCGAACAAAATTAAAAGGAAAGGAAATAGTACCTTTCACGCTAAACTTTAAAACCAAAGTGAATGTGAACTAATAAAAAATCAATGCCTCTTTTCTTTATACAGACCTGGCTTGGCTACTTCCTCAATTGAAATTTCGCAAGCACACGAAGAATAATTGCCTTAGTACGTAACGTAACGTTATTCGTGTTCTTATATCTCTCACAATTTTTAGTTTTATTTTTTTTAATTCCATTCCATGCTAAATACAACAACAAAAAATTATTTTACTCTTACTTAACTCATTTAAAATATTTCGCTTCCTTTTGCTTTTTATTTTTGTTTATGGTAGTAAAGCAAAAAAACAAAAAAAATATTACTACTCTTTTTTTATTCTCTTTCGCTTTTCGCTTTTCATTTTTTGTTTTTGCTTTACAGTATGTATAATCAATTGAGTAATGTTTCTACCCAGTATTCTCTTTTGCTATTTTCATTTTTTTGTTTTTGTTATTTATTAGATTATATGTATACCTGTTCATGAACTGGAAAAATCTTGTAAAATATAATATAGATTTGAAAAAATAAATCTTTGATTTTCAACGACTATTTTGTCATTATAATATTTGCTTATATCGCGTTTCGAAATTGAAGGAGCAGGATCTCGTATTCCTTAAAATATCTTAAATAACTGAAAAAAGCGGCTTCAATGTCCGTCATAAATCTTTTGCTATATAAAATTTTTGTTCTCTATTTTTAGGCGCATAGAAATTTCGTAAACAGACAAACAAACAGACAAAGTGAAACTAATCAGTACACCAATTTTAAATTTTAATGAAAATGTGCTAAAAATAAAATTTCAAGATAATTTTTAATAGGGTTTATCATCAACAATATCATCAATATCATCTAGATCTTCTCCATTTTTTTCGTTTTTCTGTTTTTTTGTAAATTAAATCCTTGGAATTAAATTTTAAGTGTATACAAATCTATGATGAATGTACCACTTGTAATGATCTTAAAACTACTTTATATATAATATGTTTTAAAAGATATTCTCTGGGAGGTCACAAATTTGTATGTTTGGTTTTTTTTTCTTATTATTTTCTTTATTTTTTTTTTTTTCGAATTCGTTTTATTTTACAAAAAGCAATAAAATGCAATTATTTAGCAGTAAAATATTCAATTCATATGAAATTTATACACTATTATACACAAAAGGATTCACTTTAATTTTATATACGTATGAATGAATATGTTATACATATAGTTATGTTTTTATAAATATACATAGGTAGACTTTATAAATACCTTCTGTTAAAGTCTATTTCGGGACAACAACGAAGAAAACAGAATAAGCAGGAAAAATCAACGAATAAAATGAAAAACTTTAACGACAGTATAAGACAAAGTATAGTAGAGAATAACATAAATTATGTGTGTTCAAGGAATGAGAAACTTTTGTTTTCTATACATACTTACATACGGACATAAAAATATACTTAGTTTTTGTTTGTTTTTATTTATACAGTTTCCTAACTAACTTTTATATTATACGATTCTGATATTATACTCTCTATATATAAAATGTATTCTATGGAAAAAGGAATACGTTTATAGATGAAATAATCTACCTTAATTTCAATCTATATATACTTCTTAGTCGCCTCTACAAATAAAATATGTTCTCTAAGTTGTAAAACTTTAGAACATAGGCTATTATATTGTATTAAAATAGAGTTATTCGTATATAATGTCCTGAACATTATTACATATAGACGTGTGTCTACATATATGAAAATATCGAATTAAAATTATTGTACCTACATATAAATATATCGTAATAATGGTCTTAAATATAACAGATTTATTAGACCTTAAGAAACAATTTAAACAAAAACTTATTATATGCATTTAAGTGTATACATGTATGTACTCTACTAAGTATTATGCCAGTATATGTTTGCTTAAAGTATAAAAGAAAAAAAGTTTTTTTTTTTACTATTTCAAGTTTTGATCCTTCGACAATACATAAGTATGTTTGTAAATATATTTATAACAAAAATATATTTATATCGCAATTTATTTATAGTTTAGCTTAAAATAAAAACAAAGACCAGTCCATTATGTCGGTACAATTCCGTTCAATTACCTTTTTCAACTATTTTAATTAATAAATTATTATATATGTATGTATATTATGTAAAATATCCATTGTTATTCTATACGATAACAGAGCAATTAAATTCAAGGTAGTATATTTAATATAGAAATAAGTCCTATTAAGAGCTTTGTTATACACTCTTCGTTTGTTTAAAATATAGGTATGTGAGTTGCACATACACTTATTAGTATGTGTTAATTAAAATATTGAAAATCTGTTTAATGGCCTAAAATAATTAATAATAGCGATATACCCTTTCTGACTAGAATAATTCAGTATAACTCTAATTTTAACACTTTCATTTACCGAGATATTTTAATTAAAATCTATGGCATATTAATTTTATAGTACGACACAATAATAGAATAATCAATATTGCATAATTATTTGAAATATTAAGTTTATATAGAAGAACTTACACTTTTCCTAAAATTTTTAATTTAATTTCTCTGTAAAAATTACAAGATTTTTTGGTGAGACTGGTCGAAACAGTGAAATCTGCTTAAGAAAACGCCTTATTAAAAATGTACTCGTAATACAATTTGAGCAAACTAAAGATTATCATTTATCTGCAAAAATAAAGTTTTTCAATCCGGTCCTTAACAAAGAGCAGTATATTCTATCCAAAACTTAACATCTCATATTTTGTGTTATTATAACTGATTAATTACTGTATTCGGCGCAATTGAAAATAATCGTGTAAATTGCTTAACGTTAGACAATCAAAATAATCAGATTTCTGAAAGTGTTGCCTTAGCTACATTAGTTCATGAAATCCTTACATGAAATTTACAAAGAAAATTTAAATAAACCATCAAAATTATTTCTGTTATACAATAAATAAAATTAAATATTTAAAAAATTTCATTTTAGAATTAAATTTCAAATTTTTGCTTTCAAAAATTGTTTACAATTAAATCTTAATTCTCTTTATTTTGTTTTTCATTACAGGACTCACAATGAGGAGGAAAAACTCGAGTCCGCCAACGATAGGACTCGAAAATTATTCAATTTTATTCATTTTATTTTTTATAACTGGTAGTTTTGCAGGTAAGTTTCTATTTTTAAAATTCTTTTGGTATATAATTTTTTATAATTATAAAATTTTCCTATATGAGTACAAATATCAATACATCACTATAGTCTTAAGGACAAGCAGACACAGCATGCTTAAAAAATACTAATCACTAGGTCTTAAATTGCATTTGTTACTGTTATTCTGTTATACTATTTTTATATAATCGTTATATTATTATAATATATCAGTTGTGATAACAGTATAACAGAAATATTTTAGGGACTCGCTATTTTTAGAAAATTGGGATATCAAAAGTTTTGGAAACAATTTCGTATAAGAAAAAAAAATATTACTAAAGATTTCTTTTTCAAAAGATCAACTTTTCGCAAGCTATTAAACTAGTCAACTTTTCTTAAGTTATCAAACTTGTTAATTTTTTTCAAGTTGCCAAATTTGTTAATTTTTCTCAATTTGTCAAACTTGTCAATTTTCTAATGCCAGTTTATTATTGTTATAGCTATTACTGTAAAAAACTATTCTGAAATTATTTGCTGTCAAAACTTTTATCATTCCTTATAGCAAAATAAATTTGTCAAGAATTTGCTGCATCAAATGATATTTATATTAATAACATGTTGGACAGAAAACAAATAATTTCCATATTTTTTTTCTATTTTTAAATCTAATAAAAATTTAATTAAGCTTTTGATCAAAATCAAATAAATTTTACAATAATACTGAACAAATTTTTATTTTATGAATTTTATTTAAGCGCACTTTTGTGGGTCCATGTTTAAACATTAATAAATAATATATGTATATACACTTAATGTGTTTTCTTACATACATACATACACATTATGCATTAAAACTTTAATGTACAAACATAAATTACAACAATATTCGATATTCAGAGACATAATTTATAATTTATTGCTTTATAATAGGATAACGTCTACCAGTAAAAGGGTCCATATAAAAAGTATCATAAAAATATTATTGGATTTAAGAAAAGGAAGAAAAAAGGAATCTAAAGAATAAAAGCCACAACAACAAAAAAAACTTTCAAAATTTTCTAACAATATTTTGTACACCTATTTTTATTTTTAGATACACTCATACAAACAGACATTCAATGTATTGTTTGTGACTGAAATAAGTTAAGCAAATAAATAACCTGCACACAAGTCGTTCCTATAACAGTAATAAACAACATACAATGATACTTTTATGGTTATTTTCTATTTCCTATTTTCACATAATTACAACAGGAAATATTTTTAAGCTCTTATAGTAACTTTTCTCGTACAAAAGTAGCAGCCTCCTAGAAAATTTATACCACCCCATTCTTTCATGTAGGGAGAGTGTAAATTTATCAGGCACTTTAATGTAAAACAACAATTTTTAAAATGAATTAAGCTCAATAATTTCTTACAAAACAAGTCAGAAGAAAACCTTTTCTTTTTATTCTAGGTGAATTTTCATATTAAATTTCAAGTGAATTATTAATTATTACTGAAAATTTTCATTGACTCATTAGCTACGGTAAAGTTGGCTTATTTGAGATTTTTTATTATTTTATAAAAACTTTCTATCCTATCCTAATTAATACCTTGAGACCAGTTAAATATTTAAACAAACTTTAGGGTTTTTACTTAAATATTTTACATAAGAACTTGTATACTGTGATTTCAGTTCAAATCTTAATTGTATAAAAATATTTTAATAATGTTATAAATTTTTGATATAAATTAATGAAGAAAATTAAACATGGTTGAATGCTAATAAATCGAGTGTTCTTAATTTAATTGTAAAATTATAATGGACTACATAGTTTGGTTACATTTGGTTTACGTCAAATTACCCTCAAAAATGATTGATAAATTGTTTACGAATTATAAGCTTGGGCTTTAAAATTAAGCAAAACTTAAAAAACTAATGGAAAAATAACGAAAATTTTTTCATAATTGCTCATCTACAAGGGTACTTTAATTTTATTTCTTGATTTTTCAGCACAAAACCAAAGTGCTATGATGTTCTAAATCCATGTTGTATTCTTAGAAATTTTTATTTATAAATCAAATTTTTTTGAGTTTACTGCTAAAATTTTTAAAATGCTTAATACACAAAGAGTACCTTATTATACATAAAGTTCTTAGCTCTGAATCGAGTTCAATTTCATTTGTACTACTCGGCTTCAACTCTCATAGATCAGTATTGAAGCTTTTAATCTTTATTTACACAGAATTTTCCCTATTTCAAATATGAAACTTCAAACTTTTTTATTTTTTAATACAAAATTTATTAAGCGTGTAGTCACATAATTGGTGCCAATCAAAATAACTGTTTTTTTTTTTAACAAATTTAATTATTACTGCTTTGTAAATGAAATCCCAGTTAAAACTAAAGATCTACTACCAGATAAACAATGAAAAACAATATTTTGTTATTTGAGTATGAATGAAAATTGAAAATGTCAGAAAGGAAATGTAAAAATTTTTACTATTTGTATAACGATGAAAAAATCTCTTATACACTTCCATAAATAGTTTGTATAAGAATTGCACGTGTATCGTGCCTAATTGCACATATGCCATCAGTTTATCAGAAATCGGTTTTTAATTTTTTTTGTTACCGTTTATTCAACATTTTCACATTTTTATGAATTTTATGCTCGATTTCCATTTCATTGACTTTTATAATAAAAAAAATTCTCACGTTTTTTTAAACGATTTTTTTATGATTTTTTAATTAATAAAATTACAAAAACTTTTATAGTTTTTATATTTTGATTGTAAAAACACGAGTAGCTACCTACGTTTTTATTTAATTTCCAAATTGACATTTTTATTTTTGTCATATTGAACTTAATTGACAATTTGAATTGTTAAAATATTTAAATAATGTTATACGTAAATATAATATTTGTTTAAGCAGAAAAACAATTAAAAAAAAATGGCAAATATCGAGTCGAAAATGCAAAATAAATAAAATGTTGTAATCAAGCTGAAATCCTTCCGTTTACATCCCGTGCTCATTTCAAATTTTAGAGTCGAAATTGCTTGGAATTTCATTTGTTCCTTCTAAAATATTAAAATTCTGTCAATAATAAACTAAATGCTAGTATTCTAAATGTTGATATTTTGTACATTATGTGTGTATGTAGAAATAAAAATTACAAAAAATAATTCACAAATGTCAATGTGAATTAAAATGGAAAACTTTTAATTAAATTAATTTTGAAATTCATTTGAAAATTACATTTAGATTCTTTCATTAGCACTTGTGCATTCTGTCTACATATTAATTTAATATTAATTTATGGAATTATAACCCAAACCCAAATAATTCCAAAATAAATTTAAAAAATATTTTGTAATATTCAAGTTTAGAATATTTGTTTTGGAACAACAACATTCGTATTTTGATTACCCTACAAGCAAACTTGCACATAATATTCTTGGAAATTCCCTTCAAGGTTTTATAACCCTCTAAACTTGCAGCGATTCCATAAATACATTTCGAAATAATTGTGGGTTTAATTAACAGAAATATTTAAGAATATATTACAACGACTTATTTATGTGAATGGCTTGCGTATTTGGAAAATAAGCGTCAAAACCGTAACAGAAATCTATAACAAATAATTTTTTAATCGCGTAGACAATAAAATTTCCATACAGAATTCCGAACATTCTACAGATTTGTACGCCATTAAGTGCACTGCAAACAATATTACACAAAATAATTTTTGAAACAATTTCAATTTTTTAATTTGTACTTAATGACAATAAAAGATTTAAATACTAAATATTAAAATTATTAAGAAAAATTTAGGTAATTCAGGTACATATATGTCCTTCTTCAATATGCTTCATATTCTGCTCAATTAGTGCTTCCTACTCAAATACCTACACTTAATATACGTGTACGTACCGGCACCAATGTATTGAAATTTCGAATTTTACAAAACATTTTTGATAACAAACAATTAAAATTTTTATTATAAAGATTTTCAGAAATCTTTAATTGCAATTTGTCTTGTTCTTTTTACTCTTCATAATTTTTCTGGGTCAATAACCTTTTCAAACCTAAAACTAATTAAAAAATTCAATAAAAATTCTCCCAACAAAAAAAAAGAGAAATATTTAATTTCCTTTTTTTTATAGACATGCAATGAAAATTATCGTTCGAATTATTAAATTTTACAGTTCCTTAAAACTGGAAACTAAAAATATCTTTGTTTATTTAGTTTTTAAAGAACTGAGTTCAAAATCTCACTTTATGCAACATGCGTGCATTCAATTTGAATGATTCAAGTTTCCGAATTTTGATCTCATTTCAAAGCAAAATTTCAAAAAAATTTTTTTATTTTAAAATAATTTCTTTTTTTTCATTATTTTAATTTTTTATAAATTTACTATAATTATATCATAAATTTTTTTTTTCTTAATAATATTAAAGCTCTACTTAACGTAATATAACAGATCATAATCATTATTAAGTATACAGAGTAGGTATTTGAATTGAATACTAAAAAATGTTTGTTTTAAAAAATAATTATTGTAAATATAAATAACCCAAAAAAAAATCAAAAAAATGTATGTTATATGTGCATAACCCACTAAAAAAAAATTTTTTTAAGAAAAAAATTCCGATAATTCCAAAATAAAGAGTACAAAAGTATTTTTAGTAATAAATAAAGGAAAAGAAAGAGAAAATCAAAATCAGTTCAATTTCTCAAAAAGTTGATCTTGTAAAACTGGCATTTTCTTTTTCTGTTTTTTGAAAAATGCAATATCAAAATTATATACTGCCAATCAAAATACAATTATTACTATATATATGTATGTACAAAGGTACTACTATACCTGTACATACTTATATTTCCTTTAAAATTTTATTAAAAGTTAAAAAAAGAGTTAAAATTTTTATTAGTTCATCACCTCATGTGAATTCAAAATAAATTCTCGTACAATTCTCTTCATTATATACGTATGTATGTATGTATGTATGAACATGCATACTTTAT